ACCTGATCTAGTTGATGTTTGCGGTGCTTTTCATCGAAATCCTTACGGTCACAAAGGCGAAGGGCGTTATCTCTTGCCTGTCTAAGGCGGACGCACTCACCATACTTTGTGAATGAGTTGGATTCGGCAAGGTCAACATGCCACAAGTACTTCCTCTATATGGAGTAGAAGACTTGCTCCGAAACGACGGTCTGACTCGCTGCTTCCAAGTCCGCCTTGATGGACTCGTAGACAAGGAGCTTCGTAAAATAAGTCGGGAGCCTGACTTTAGGTCTCTGTGAGGTCCCCTTCACAACCATTTCGTTAGGCATAGCATCTTCATGTTCTTCCACGAACCTTTTCACACGAGCCAGCATGGTCACATACTCGGGTCTCGGGTTCAACAATCCCCATCGACCATGTCGGCCACGGACGACCCCGTCTGACTTACACTTGCTATAACGACAGTATGTGTTTCGATATATCCCTATTATTTTACACCAACTGGTGATGCACACACGGCGGTTGCACTGCACTGGTTCCACTCTTTCCAGACCACCGTTGAGGATAGTGAAATTGTCAAGGGTTTGCATCCACCACTCAATCCTGCTTTCGAGGGACATTTTATAATAAGCTTCGCGCACCGGTTTGATATCGTCAATGGTCAAGACCCGAAGACACTTGTTCTTACAACATTTGTGTGTTGGGACGAACGTAATGTTAGTTTCATTCAATCAACATCGAATGTTCTAACTTTCTAACCGGCCTATATTTTCGATTATATAACTTATATCTTCTCCTTTCTCCAGGTAGAGGACGAGACAAAACCTGACGAACTGCTTCGGGAGTTAAAGGAAGAGTCGTAGTCGGGGACTGATACGCTGCATCTATAAATTCAGATCTGTCAGTGGGAGCGGTCCTCGAAAAATCAGATTGGGAGGACTCAGATAAACTGTAGAAATCTGTGTCTACAAAACCAATCTACCAATTTCTCGTTGCACCCGTGACTCTCATCGATTGAGCATGTACGTGGACCTGCGAACTCAACAAACCTAGGGGAGAGTCAAATTTTCTGGCTTCACATGCAATTCACTTACCTATCTCGGCACTTTCACACGGACGCTCCGTTGCCTGTTCCCGATGAGACCCGTTTCTATCGGACGTACCGCATTGTTCCCGATCAGATCCGTTTCTATCAGGCGTACCGTAGAAGCCTGTATCCATTAACGGGCGACTGTAGTTAAATGTTGGGGGTTGGGTAACTTCAATGCTTTCACACAGTCGACCCGTTGTCCGCATGAGATCTGATCCAGTCGTTTGGGACACACCACAAAAATCTATGTCCACGAACATCAATGCACCGGGAAACGTCTCCATATCCCGATTACCCCCACTATCATGGATTAACGCTGTAGATACGCGCTGACCGTCAAGAACGTCGGTAAAGCGAACAAAACGACGCCGACTGGACGTCGTAGAGGGGCCTGAATGATTTGTCGGGTTCAATATCGAGAACCCCCTTTTCAAATCATGAGGTCGTTCAGAGGGAGCTTTCGGGCTGCTGTCACAAAAACTACGTTCTCGAACATCGTTTTCTCCACGTTGTCGTGACGGTGGCGGTGACGTTCCATAGAGGAAGGTTTGGACACCCATTTGAAGAGACGATTCACACGAAAACTATACAACAAGAAAATCACGTCAGCGTATAACGAGGTTAGGGAAAACAAACAAGAGGGAGTAAACTCGCATTTCTAATATTTATCACAAAATAATGAAACAACAATATTTGAATCCATTTCGTTTTCTTGGGCTCGTGTAATCTATGTATGTGCGAGTTTTTCGCTCTTTAACCAACCAGGACGTTGTGGCACTTCCAGACCCTGATTTAAAGGTCAAGTGGTCTCACAAATCCGATTCCTCTCCCACTCGTTCTCCTGTGCTAGTTGAAGGACTTTTGTTCCTGATAGTTAGTTTAATGTGCAAGTGGTTTGGGACATTGTGGTACTTCCAGACCCTGATTTAAAGGTCAAGTGGTCTCACAAATCCGATTCCTCTCCCACTCGTTCTCCTGTGCTAGTTGAAGGACTGTTGTTCCTGATAGTTAGTTTAATGTGCAAGTGGTTTAGATAAGTCCGAGTGAACTCGCATTTTTTCTCCGGTGCAAGTTGGTTGTCACTCCTGGCGAAGGAAATCCTCTTTATGCAAGAGCACAAGTGCGAATTGACTCAAACCTATTGACCACGCAATACGAAACAGGTTTGTGGTTGTTTCACCAACGAATCGACTAGCACATAGAATAAGAGGCGTACTTGCATTAAGGCGAGAGTACATGTGCGAGTCATTCGAGACACCGATTCACCATATACTAAAATTTAAGAGCGAACAAACTCGCACATAGAGTACGGATGGTGCGTCGCATTTAGGGCAGAGCACAAATGTCAGTTGACTCGGACTTATGCACCATACAATTGGAAATAGATTCGTGGTTGGTTCAGCAGCAAATAGACTCGCACATTGAATGCGTAGCATGAAGATCATTTCGACGAGAGTACAAGTGCGAGTTGATTCGAACTTATTCACCATACAGTAAGAAATAGGGATCCTGGTTGGTTAAAAAGCGAACAAATTTGCACATACAAAAGTGTGTCGCATTTAAGAGAGATCACAAGTGTGAGTTCACTCAGACTTATGCCCTGTACAGTTGGAAATAGATTCCTGGTTGGTTCAGCGGCAAATAGACTTGCACATTGAATGTAAGTGCGAGTAGATTCAAACTTATTCACCATACAATAAGAAATTAGGTTCCTGGTTGGTTCAAGAGCGAATATATTCGCACATAGAAAATGACTACATTTTTTTGGGTCGAGAAAAAGCGTGAGTTTACTTGAGCATTTCGATTTCGACACTGAGAGTACAAGTGCGAGTTAATTCGGACTTATCCACCATACAGTAAAAAAATTAGGGGCCTGAGAGTACAAGTGCGAGTTAATTCGGACTTATCCACCATACAGTAAGAAATTTAGGGGCCTGAGAGTACAAGCGCGAGTTTACTCGAGTATTTCGATTTCGAGACTGAAAGTATAAATGCGAGTTAATTCGGACTTCTTCATCATACAGTAAGAAATTTAGGGGCGTGAGAGTACAAGTGCGAGTTGATTCACCATACAGTAAGAAATTAGGTTCCTGGTTGGTTCAATAGCGAATAAATTCGTACACAGAAAAAAACTTCATTTATTTAGGCCGAGAAGAAGCGCGAGTTTACTCCTCGAGTATTTCGATTTCGAGACTGAGAGTACAAGTGCGAGTTAATTCAGACTTATCCACTGTACAGTAAGAAATTTAGGGGCCTGGTTGGTTCAAGAGCGAATAAATTCGCACTTGAAACGAGCATTTCGATTTTGAAACTGAGAGTACAAGTGCGATTTGATTCGGACTTATTTACCGTATAGTAAGAAATTAGGTTCCTGGTTGGTTGAAGAGCGAATAAATTTGCACACAGAAAATGACTTCATTTTTTTGGGTGGAGAAGAAGCACAAGTTTACTCGGACTTGTTCACCACACTCATTTCGATTTCGAAACTCAGGCATATGCGACAAGCATTCTTGTACGTAGGCAACTCCAATCCGTGAATCTCACAACTGTAAGCATATCTGACAATTATCTAGTTTATAGGCAACTCCAAGCATATCCGGTTGCCATGTCAGTGTACCGTTACGGAATCATTTAACTAATGTTTACTTGGATATTATGCATCAGGGATCCATTCAAATTTAGCTTAATCCATCGTGTTAAGCCTTCATTAGGCATACTTGACGCTTGTTTCGTACGATTCGACAATGATGGGCGGCTACACCGATGTCGGACTACAACGACAATACAATGGACAACTGGAACGGCGGCGAAGGATCTCTGCTCAACGATGGTGCAACAATCGATGGTAAATGATGGCGCAACGATGGAGACAGATGGAGAAAGATGGCGCAGCGATGGAGATAGATGGAGAAAGATGGCGCAACGAAGGAGAGAGATCATGAACCGATGGAGAGAGATCGCGCACCGATGGAGAGAGATGGCGCACCGATGGAGAAAGATGGCGCACCAATGAAGAGAGCAGGCGCATGGATGGTTATCGATGCCACACCGATGGAGAGATCTGGAGCAGCGATGGTTAGCGATGGCGCAACGATGAAGAGAGATGGCGCAGGAGCGCCACGTATCTCACCGCTGCAAACATATTGATTCCTAACTAATGATCTTGCTTATTGAAGACCATCATGTAATTCAAGATTAACCAAGATTAGTTATTATACAACATGACGAAAGATGGAGAAAGATGGCGCAGCAATGGAGATAGATGGGGAAAGATGGCGCAACGATGGAGATAGATGGAGAAAGATGGCGCAGCGATGGAGATAGATGGAGAAAGATGGCGCAGCGATAGAGAGAGATCGTGAACCGATGGAGAGAGATCGTGCAACGATGAAGAGAGATGGTGCACCAATAGAGAAAGCAGGCGCAGCGATGGTTAGTGATGGTGCGCCGATGGAGAAAGATGGCGCACCAATGGAGAGAGTTGGCGCAGCGATGGTCAGCGATGGCGAGCCGATGGAGAAAGATGGCGCACCAATGGAGATATCTGGCACAGCGATGGTTAGCGATGGTGCAACGATGAAGAGAGATGGCGCAGGAGCGCCACGTATCTCACAGCTGCAAGCATATTGATTCCTGACTAATGATCTAGCTTAGATAAATTATTAAACAACATCATTTAATGCCTAACTCATGTTTATTTAGATATAATGCATCAGAGATCAGTTCAAAATTAGCTTAATCAAAGTTAAATTCATCGTGTTAAACATTCATTAGGCATCCCCGACGCTTGTTTCGTGGGATTCCACAATGATGGGTGGCTACACCGACGACAGACTACAACGACAATATAATGGCGATGGAGAGATCGCGCAGGAGCGACGGACAGAGATCGCGCAGTGATGGAGGGAGATCACGCAATGATTGGCGACTATATCGACGACGGACTACAACGACAATACAATGGCGATGGAGAGATCGCGCAAGAGCGACGGAGAGAGATCGCGCAGTGATGGAGAGAGATGGCGCAGCGATGGAGAGAGATCGTGCAACGATGGAGAGTGATCACACAGCGATGGAGAGAGATCGCCCAACGATGGAGAGAAATCGTGCAGCGATGGAGAGCAATCGTTCAACGATGGAGAAGAGATCACGAACGATGGAAAGAGTCCGCGATGGAGAAAGATGGCGCCGCGATGAAGATAAATCATGTAGGAGCGATGGAAAGAGATGGCGCACCAATGGAGATATATGTAGAAAGATGGCACACCGATGGAGAGCGATGGCACACTGATGGAGATAGATGGCGCAACGATGAGAAAGATGGTGCAGCGATGGAAGGGATAACAATGGTCAGCGTTGTGATGGCCAGCGTTGTGATGGGAGTGATAGCAAAAGCGATTGCCAGCGCTGCGATGGAGGATATAGCTATGCGCAGCGATGGCGATGAGCTAAGCGCATCAATGGTGATGGCGATGGCGAGCGCTGGAATGGATGCGATTTCGTTCGCAAGCGCAGCGATGGGAGCGCTGGAGCAATTGTGGGTGTTCGATATCCACCGCCATTGACATTTGCAAAATGTTACAATGACTGCGATACCATAATTTATCAGTTTCCAGTGTTCACCTCAGTGCACAACGAACCGCCGCGCAGGCTTTTCGGGAGCGTTCGGATTTGTGCCTCGACGTACAACGGACCGTCGCGCCTGGCCTTGGCGAGCAACGAACCGTTGTGCTGGGATTACTGCGCCTGACCTCCGGGGGGTAACAAAGCTCCACTTTGTACATTGGATCATGACGATCGATGGTCGAGACGAGAACAGCGGAAATGATGTAGATTGTCCCTTATTTTCTGGAAGTGTCATATCAATGCATGCTGGAGTTGGCGGAGATTTTAGGGCCTCTCGCATGCTAGCGGCTTCGTTAATCTGCGCCGTTGAATTTTGTAGATCGACGTTCAACAATTTTTGGTACCTCTGACCTTTCGAGGCCCAACCTGTCCTTACCGTTTTATAGGCCTTGGCGTCTTATAGGTCCTGGCGTTTTATGGGCCCTGGCGTGCGATATGCGAACAACCGATGAATCGAAACGCCCTCTCGACACCCTCCTTGATCCCGACGTGAGGCCTGCTGCTGGAGAGTTCCTCTGGGCGAAAAAGTATATAAGTCGTTGCCGCCCTTGCTTTATCCCTTTTCTTGTTTGGCAGCTCCACAGGTCAAGTCGCGCTATCGCTATCACGCACATTTTGATATCTTGTCTTCACCCACCACCTCCTTCCGCCATAACCGGTTCGTCTTCATACCCCGATTTCCATTCCCCATAGCCGGTTCGTTCTTAGTAGCTCAATTTCCCTCCGCCATAGCTGATTCGCTCATCGTACATCCATATCCGTCTGACGTTGGTCGTTCGTGCAATGCACGACGAAGGTGAGATGTTATTTCAGTTGTCCTAATCTGCGTCCGATGTCCGAACAGATTCACAGATGCCCTATTTGTACCTGCACGCTATAATGCCGCAGTGCCGCATGTTGAACTCCGAATCAATTCCCGGTTTCGTTGTTTCGCAGCTCCAAAGGTCAAGTCGCGCTATCTTAACCGCGTGTGTTCTGATATATTTTCTTCACCCTCCACCTCCGTCCGCCATAGCCGATCCGTGCTTCGTAGCTCGATTTCCTTTCGCCATAGCTGAACCTGCACGCTATAAAGCTGCCATGATATTGTTTGTATATATATATATATATATATAATACATATATAGCAACTTATACTCGTCGGTGCCCATGTTGAACCCCGAATCAATTTCCGGTTTTCGTCCACCTGTCCCTTGTGAGGTCGCCGACCTGACATATATATATATATATATTTATTTATATATATCCCAACTGTACTCGTTCGTGCCACTTCTAGAAGGCCAAATTAATTCGCAGTTTTTGTTCATTTATCTAGTGAGGTCGGAACTGATCCACAACTGCGAGTTAGTTCGCAGTTTGCGACATGTATTGCTGGAGGAGTTACAAAATTGCGAGTTAGTTCGCACTTTGCGACCTACAGTGTGTACGAGTTGTTGCGTGTCGCCCTTCGTATCTTGAACTCCGAGTTAGTTCGCACTTTGTCGACACTAAGTGGTACATGTTTTAGGTCTTCATTTCCACAACTCCGAGTTAGTTCACACTTTCCCCAAGATAAGTCGTTTCTTTCTTCATTTCCAGGACTACGAGTTGGTCCGCACTCTGTCCGAGGAGTTGTTATCTTTCCTCCCAACTCACTCTCCCAGAGGAGTATTGTCTTTCCTCCCCCTGACCCAATTGTTGTGACTTCGTGTGCATTTCAAAAACCCATCTGGTACGTCGTTTTAGTCCTTCATTTCCACAACTCCGAGTTAGTTCACACTTTGCTGATGTACTCTTGCACAATGGTTTTTGGACTTCGTTGTTGACGGGAACCTTGTTGGCCCAACTGTTTTCATGCGGTCCGCTGCCTTTCCGGACGCTAAGGGAGCAGCCGACGTTCAGTCTGTTGGTACCATCCTTTCGTCCCATAAACAGTCTGGAGGCTTGCTCAAGCTGCGGACTAGCATTTTCTACGACATTTGCAGACTACATTACAAAGGTATCAAGGGTGTGATGATTTCGATCAAGAATTTCTCGGGGTACGGCTCGAACATGCTTCGCTGCCGTCACTTCAAAGGGCTTTACGATAGCAAAAGCAGGCCTCTTCCACCTCCAATGGAATATCTCGATCTTGCGTTGAAGGTGCCAAAAGAGCGTCCGATTCTTCTGCGAGATTATGTTTTCCGGCTTCTACCAGCCCATGAGGGGTGTCCGGCTTAGCTCAAGAAACCCCTCTGACGAAAGTGGGGCACGAGAGTATCATTCACGGCACCAAGGGTCAGGGTGTGGGGCAGGCGGGCAGGAGTTATCTGCAGGTCGGCCCGAGTCCTTCTAGGTGCACGTCTGGCGATCTTGTGCCTTCCTTGACTTCTCCAGATGCAGGGACTCATCGGGTCGCCACACCAAAAATCCTCAAGTTACGCTGCCAGGGTGACACGTATTCTCTTCGAGATGAGGCGAGAAGAGAATCCGGCAGTTCAAGACAAGAGGTTGGAGGGAATGAGGTTGAAGGGATGGGCGTTGTGCACGACAACTCTAGCGGGGAGCCGACTTCTTCGGAGAAAAAGCGCGAGCGACAGAAGACGGTACGAGATGAGGTGGCGGAACAAACCAGAACGTGCCTTGGGAAAAAGGCCGCCAAGGTTGTGTGGCGGACAAGAAGAAGAAGTCAAAAAGAGGCATTCTAAGCACGAAGTTGCCACAACAAGTAAGAAAGCGAAGAGGGTCGGCGGTTTGACCATCAGCGAAGGGCAAGCTATAGGTGGAGGAAATTCGGCTCATCAAGGCATTGCCGCCGCAGGAGAACCTTCCCATAAATCTAAAAGGAAACTGGCAGTTGAAGAAGGCGATCACCAGAAGAAAACTCGGAGGAGGAAGACTGGTGAGGGGACGAGTGGTGGCGAAAGGGCGGTTGGTGGGCAATACGACGAAGTGGCGGCGTTTTGGCTCGAATACGAGCGAAACGATGACATTGAGATCGTGGAGAAGGAGCACCCAATTCAACTGGTCATCGAACCCAGGAAGGTCTACGTTATCCCGCCGTGGGAAAGATATTATAATCACTGCAGTCTCGCTCGGGATGGTGTGGAGGACATCAAGAATGCAATGCTAAGGCAGTTCCGCGAGGAGAAGGCAAAGATATGGACGAAAAACGCTTTGGTTCTGGCTCCCATATACAAGTCGGTGACGCAGAAGCCGGAGAGAGCTCGAAGGGTTCACAAGGATGTCTTCAAGCCAAAGGACAAGGACAAATACTTCTATTACCCCGTGAATGGACAACACAATATGGCTGTTGTGAAGGAATTGGATGGTGAATCAATATTTGAATTGTGGAAGATGCACTCGTGGCCAACGAGAGTCGTGTGGATCTTCGATGAAGACTTTGGGGGGTATTTGCAGGTCAGTCTAGAGGAGAACACAAGACACACAATGTCTATGCAGCGTTCGCAGAAGGCCACTTTCGAGGATATGCGGGAGGCATGGGAGAAGCAGGGAAGGCCGATGGCTATTCAAGGAAAACCTTCTGGTAAGGAGGCCGAAAAGAGTCCCAACGACGCTCATTAGAGGATGGCACGTAAAGCGACAACGCTCGCCGACAAGGACAAAGTTGCGGCTATGTGTAATGCATTGAGGCAATGGATGTCGCTTGTGACAGCCGGTGATGAGGTTTTCCGGAAAGGGATGAAGTTTTACGATAAGTGGACCGAGGGAAAGTTGTTAGGTGGAGACGGGAAAACGCCGTTGTCGAAGCTTGGCAAATACATGTCAGACAAATCTTTGAGGCTTCAAACGATTCCGGAAATGGGCGTGAAAGGGGCGGCTGTTGAGACAAAGATGGGGTGGCTAGTCCGGATCCCTACGCCTTAGACCAAAAAGAAAACGCAATTGGACGACAAGTTTTTCGTCGTCGTGAAGGAGCCGGACATGTTCTATTGGCAATCTCTCGCTGACATGACCGATGACGAAAAATTGTCGATCCTCAAGGACATTCTCGCACTTAAGGGAGTGTTCGTGCAATCAGCGGACGAGCATCTCAAACGACAACATAAGTCGGCAATTAAAGAGATGGTCGCGACGAGGAAAGTGGATCGAATGATGCTCCACATGTTCCACTATGTCTTGTTCCTTAAATTTGAGGAGGATGCAGAGGTTTGGCGCTATGGAAACCAGTTTTTTCGGACCGAAGAGCAGCTTATGGCGGAGTTCGCGCCACAGGGCCTCACAAAGCAGGTATGGGTCAAACTGAGGAAGCATTTCCACGGTGCGATGGACTACGTGAACATTTGCAAACGTTGCCCTCCGTACGAGAAGGAGTCCCTTGACAAAACGAAGAGACGGTACGATGATGACAGGTTTCCTACATCCTTCGAGAAGTCTGTCCACTCCATCTTGTGACAAACAGAGGAAGAAGTACAAGACACGATCAGGGTCAGGGGGGATGTGAGGCACATCAAATGGCAGAAGCTCAACCGCTTTACCAGCCTTATTCCTTTCGGTTGTCCGCCTTCCCAAGCTAATATTCGTCTCACTGAGATCCGCGATATTGTGCGACATTACGTAAGCAACTTGTACGTCCTCGATTTGTATGATCCCACACTCCTGTCAGATTCGCAAGAAAGTGATTTCGCCTCGTTGCAAGGTGTTCTCCAAACCCTGTCGCCAAGGCATTGGACACTTGTGATCTTTTTCCCATCGCGTTGGGAGCTCAGTTTCTTGAAGGGCATGACCAAGCTTAGCGTTCATCACGTGAGGACAGGGAAGCGGGTGCGCCATGCACAAAGGAAGGTCATAGTCCGGAAAGACAATATGCTGGTCGAGGAATATGATCGCCTGTATGTCGTTTTCAATGGCGAGAACTTGGCAGACAGCACGGTCGCAGTGTTCCCGTCCGGTAGTCCATCGTGCGAATGCTCCAAGTCCGACCAAACCTGCGGGGGCCGCCCATTCGAAAGTTGGTTGTTTTTCCGACCCTTCGGGACAGGCTGTGGCCTATTTCGACGTGGCAGACGAGGACAAGTTCCCTCGCAACCAGTGGGAGGACGGCGGTGTGGCAAGTGTTCGAGGAGCTGCTTAAGGGGACAGGGAACGAAACCCAGCTCATCTAGTTGGTCTACTCGAAAACTTTTGTAGAGTTGGGCAAACTGTTTTCTTCTTCGGGAAGGCGCATGCATCTGTCGTGTGGGAGCTCCTGTGTAGCGGTCGGAACGTCGTTGCGTTAGAGGACGAGGCGAAGATGATCGATTACTTTCACAAGTTTGTGAAGACACGCGTGGGGGACCCTCGCAACCATTGCTCTTTTGTCGAGACCACCGGCGAACGAAACTGGGATCCCAAACGTGATATGTATTGGAAATTGTTGGAGAAGAAAGGATGGAGGTTTGGGAGTTCTTTTTCCAACCAGGACCGCCTGCTCAGGCCCACCTGGAATACAATCGACGGAGAAACCTGGTGTTCGGTGTGCTGAATGCTGACCACGGTGCGTTCAGGGAGTCTGTCTTAAATTTCCTGAGAAGGCTGGAGCACATTTTCTTCTTGATGGCAAAACCACTAACCCTCGAGAACTACAAGGCCCAGTTTGAAGAGGACGACCCGTTCGACGCTGAAGACATGGAGGAGGTGAGCGACTCCGAAACCTTCGATTTCGAGTCCATGCCTCTTCCTCGGGTGGTGACACAAGTTGATGATGAAGGGGAAGGTGGTCCTCGGAGATATAGCATGTCCCCTGCCGGTTTGAAGCGTGTATTTGAGCACGAAACAATCGAGGACCAATCGTCTGATGACGGGGAAGAAGAGAGAGACTATGAATACGCACCTGTTGACAAGCTCTCTAAGGACCATGATACCTGGAAGAATGATAGGCTCTTCTTCTATGGGAAGCACCACCAGTTCATAGCAGAGGATGTTTGGGGCCACAACGTCGTCTAGCACCCCAGGAAATTCCAACCTGCTGTAAAGAATGGAAAGTGGGTCATGGCAATAAAGGAAGTCGACGACAAGTGGAGTGCCCTGAACAGACTGGGAGCGGGTCCATTTAAGAAAAAGGCCAGAGAAGCTCTAGTGGAGCATTTGAGTGTAGTAAACCTCTAAAGGAGCCCACATGACCTCAATGCGTATGCAGGCCAAAAGCTCGACGAGCTCTACGACAACAAAATGTTGGAATTTTGAGCGTCTTTCTACACTCTTGAGACAGCACCGTCTTGTTGCATTGATTAGTGCATGCCTCAACCTCCGGCCGGTGGTCAACATCCGGGAGGCGGTGGAGGAGGTGATGGAGGAAACGGCTCAGGATCTAGTGGAGGAGGTGACGGAGGAGACGGCTTAGGATCTGGTGCTGACAAAGCAGAGGGGAAGGGGTCAGGCGGAGAGGGTTCTGGAGAAAAGCGATCTGTCGAAAAGTGGTTAGGCGAAACGTCGTCAAAATCAAAAGGCTCTGGCGGAAAAATGTCCGGCGGAAAGGGGTCGGGTGGAAAGCGTACAGTGTTCGGGAGTCACGAGTCTACGGGAACTGAAAGCCACTGCGAAGGGAGTCGAGATTCCGACATTTGAGACGAGGCCGCCCTGAGGTCTTATCAAGTGCGAGTAGATTCGCACTTGTCTGCGAGGACTTTGTTTTGCGATGTCGAGGAGAGTCCGTGTCACAGTACGTAGTCGGCGTATCCTGTGGACGATACCTTGCTCCTGCACCTCTTGGAAGAAGGCGAACGTCTGCAGCGTACGGCAGCATCTCCTGAGCGGCAAAACCATTCCTTACCGAGAACTGCGTCTTCGTTTTGCCTGGACACCGGGATGCCTGCATTGCGAAGGAGCGAAGGTGCCAGCGTCAGTTCCCTCAGCTTTGGCGAGCGCCTCAAAGTCCGAATAGATTCGGAGTTACTGACGTCACCCTTCGGGCCGTCCGCCAGCAGTGCTCCTCACGCGATGCTTCTGTTGGGCGAAGAAAATGTGAGGTCCAACCCCCCGCATCTTCAGTTGGGCACAATGTTCCCCTGCTCACCATCGTTCTCAAATGTTGAGACTCAAGACTGGCCGTTTCACAAAGTGTTGGACGGGCCTGCTGCAAGAGCGTTGGAGACCGGGGCTAGCGAGTATGAATGTCATGCTTCGGAGGGTGCGTCCATAATTTTGAGAGCAAGGGTACAGCAGCTCCGGGGCAAGAGGAACTCTCACAGGAAACGCATGTTGTGCAGCGGGAAGAGGAGACTCAACACTGGCCGCCTCGGAAAGTGTTGGAGGGGCTCGATGAAGGAGTGTTGGAGACCGGGGCTAGCGAGCATCAATGTCATGCTTCGGGGGGTGCGTTCGTCCACTTTGAGAGCAAGAGTACAACAGCTCCAGGGGTAGACGAGCTCTCACAGGAAGCGCATCCTGTGCAGCGGGAAGAGGAGACTCGGCACTGGCAGCCTCGCAAAGTGTTGGAGGGGCTCGATGCAAGAGTGTTGGAGACCGGGGCTAGCTAGCATCACTATCATGCTTCGGAGGGTGCGTTCGTCGATTTTGAGAGCAAGAGTACAGCAGCTCCGGGGGAAGAGGAGCTCTCACAGGAAGCGCATGCTGTGCAGCAGGATGAGGAGCTTCTCCAGGGCTCATCGGGAAATACCATCAACATTAGGGACACCGAAGAGGTTCTGCACAGTGGGTCGCTACTGACGACGCAAGAGGGTGACGTGAATGGAGGTCAGTGGACATTTGTGGAAGGCGAAGACTGTGGGGAGGAAGTACGTGCGTGGACGTTTGTGGAAGCTCGGCTTCTTGGCGAAGAGGAAGGCGAAGAAGAACCCGTGGTGGAAGCTCGGCTTCATGGCGATGAGGAAGGCGAAGAACCCGTGGTGGAAGCTCGACTTTTTGGCGGTGAGGTGTCGGTCGGTGTCCAGATGGATCCAGAGCGGAAAGATCATGATTCTCCGTCCACCCGTTGCGGTGAAGAACAAGGTGATCGAGCGTCTGTCCTCAGTACCGGTCGGAAAATAGTACTTCATAAAACCATCGAGTTGGTTAGCGACTCAGTTGCCATCGAGCTGGTTAGTGACTCAGTCGTGGCCGAGGTGCAGAACATCGAATCCTCCGTGGACGTTGGCACAGTGGAGCGACAGGAGGCCGATTTCCCTCGAAGGACTCCCGAGCACGGTAAGATTTGTGAATAGTAGCACTCGCATATCTGTCACTGTTCAGCTCTGTGGTCATCCAAATTGATATGATGGGCTCATGTAGCTATTACCATTTGTTAAGAAAAACTTGTGGGTTGTGGGTTGTTTTCTATGTTTTACAGGTGTGAGGTTGTCAATGTCCTTGCCCATGAAGCCTTCAAAAGCCATGCGCGGAAAATCTTTTTCAGGGAGGTCATTGGCCGCTTTACCGAAGAAGTCCTCGTCAAGTGTAGGGTTGTTTAAAAGGGTCCAGATGTCTCGCCTTTTCGAGAGAGTTGTCAGGGTTCTGAACGCTTGTGGAATAGGTAAGGAGGAAGCTTTGCAGAAACATGTGGCTGCGTCTATTGAAAGCGTTACTGCTTTGTCTGACAGGTTTGACGACGATGCCAAACGGTGTATCGTCAAAGACCCGTATCCTAAGTACACGAAGTCCCACCTTGTGTCTCGCCACCACAAACATGCACTCAAACAACCTGGTCGGGTCTAGTGTCGACCCTACACGGCCCTGCCAGGTGGGAGCAGCTTCCCTTCACCACGCTGCCCCACTTAACCCTAACTTTCATCCCTATCCTTAAGTGGTTAGCCCTTACCACTAGGGTTAGGGTTATGGCAACAAAGTCAACTCTCGCCAGCAAGTAGAATCCGCTCCGATACCAATGTCATTCAAACATTTAGCACAAAATATGAGGCTTTACTCTCGAGGAGGACATAATGTGCTACAATCAAAGGATATCGACATGCATGACTGCATGTTGCAACGCCCTTCTGCCTCGTCCACTCAGGCGCAGATTTCCTCAGACTAACTACTTACATAGCCTACTCAGAAACCTTCCAAGTCCCTGTCTCGTCACCCGCAATCTTCCTCCTTCCCGTGATCATTCGCGAGAACTTCAATAATCGACGTCGATCTTAGCGCAACATCATCGTAATTCCCAAGATCTCAGCATTGGAGTCATGTATGTAGACCAGTCCACATGTAGGTACATCAGTGCAGTATCAGAATGTAGTCTGTTTGTCCTAGCTGGATTCGTGTCGAGCAGTTCTGTAACCGCTGCCGTTGGTTTATAAAACGCGTCCCGTAGTACCCGGGTTTCCGTAATAGTGGAGTTCTGTATGCGGCCTAGTTTACCGACAAATACACTTATCATAAAAATTGTAGTACAGTCTCTGAATGTGGTCTGCTGTCAAGGTTAAATTCATSCTTGTGCTAAAAAAGTGATGTCGTCGGTTATTAACTGTTCTAAAGCGTCCCGTAGTACCCGGGGTTCCCGTGGCGTTCTGTATGCGGCCTAGTTTACCCACAAGTAYACTTATYGTAAAAATTGTAGCACCGTCCCTGAATGTGGTCTGCTGTCAAGGTTAAATTCGTGCTTGTGCTCAAGGAGTGATGTCGTCGGTTATTAACTGTTCTAAGTTCAGCGGCTGATCCGTTAATGTCAGAGAAATCGATCAAGGAAGTCCTTAATGTTGAACGGTTATACCCGTTGCCCGAAATCAGGCACCGTGATTTGCAAAAAATGTACTTGTTCATTTTTATTATTATTTTTACTATTTTTATTTTTATTTTTATTTTTATCTTATTTTTATTTTTCAGCCGACGCCTGCAGTTGCAACCAACGCAGGATCTTTGCGGCCGTCTTTTTGTTGATCCTTTTTCTTCTGATGGCCAAAACTGCGCGCTTCAGTATGTACGTCGGATAGCCCAACTGTCGGGCTTCAACAAAGAACCATTTGATAACATTCACTGTATCCGACTGGGTCGTGGAATTCGTAAGGATTCGATGCAATGTACCAAGTATCGTGATATCCTTGTTTTTTACGAGACCGAAGCTCTTGAAGTGTTTAATCGTGTGATACCGACCAAAAAACCCCTCTTGGAGTGTTTCCTGATTCTTCAAACGATGTAAACACTTCAAGAGGGGTTCTTTCTCCTGTTTAATAATCTGCGTTTCCAGATATTTCTTTTTACAATCTTGGATGCAAGTTGTTTCCTCAAGCTTCAGTGAATTGTGATAACAATTATGAAACCGTTGGATGCGACTCCTGACTGCTTCCCTATCTTCCTTATCACACATTGCCGTAATGAAAACATCATCCACGAACCTGATTCTGGTAATATACCTTTCATCAGTTCCAAGTGAATTTGTCCATTTTTGTTCATCAAAATTGCAGACTAGGTTCGCAATGGGTGGGCTTGACCCTTTCCCCATTGGAATGTCGAGCGTTTGCTTGAGCATTTGCCCTTGTACCAAAAAATAAGCATGCGATTTGTCAAAATGTAGCAACTTAGGAAGGTCAACAATTTAAATCGTCTTCCATCCCCAGTCACCGTTTGCTTTTCCTAATCCAATCTTCTTGCTGTGTAGCTTCATTCTTATGTGTGTGTTGCCCTTTCTCAGATGTTCACAGACAAGCCAGTCCATGGCGCGCATAATGTGCGAGTGGTCAAGACATGTAAACATGTCTTTGACGTCAAACGTGTCACTAATGATTTCAGCCTGTTCTCTGAACGTGGACCTTGCATTCATGCTAATTTCTGAAATTTTTGGTACCAATTCATTAGTACCCATAATGCCAAACCCTTTGTGCAAAATTTTGACGAGATAGTTGACACACCTAGATAGGATTTTGCTGGCTTGGAGCAAAGGTTCTTGAAAAGTTCGAACGATGGGTCGTCTTTTCAAGATGTCCTTGTCCTTTGGCATTACGTAGGCATGCCCGTACATCCCGCTGTTGTTCCAGCGCACAAACTTAGTTAGTCCCATTTGCTTATATGTAACCTGACTAGTATCTAGGACGCCTTGCATTGTTGTGTTGACAATCTGATAATTCAGTACATTCATAAACATCCGGTTCATCCTGTCCCAGAAAACTTGCGGACATTCCACGTACGTTTCTCCTGGGTTTCGATCAAGTGGAGAGCAAATGAGCAGACTCAGCTTCTTTTTCCAGTTCCAGACTGTCTGTATAGTAAGTCCATCGTCTGTTCCGTTCTTCTTCTTTACACACCGACCAAATTCAGCTGAATCTGTGATCCTAGGACAGTACCTCTTTGGAATTTTCGCAAGTGTCTGATTTACCGTTGTGATAATCTGTCTCTTACAGTCCTCCTCTTCGTATATAGGCACATTTTTAGCGTTACACAGCAATCGGTCAGCACACACATCAGACAAACGAAAAGAAACGTGGTTATCAACTTTTGGAAATTCCATCTGTGCACACGGACAATCAGGCCTGTCTTTTATCATCTTTCTGTGGTTGTGTATGATTTCAGCCACATTCTTGTGCCTTCCGAACATGACTCTAGCTCGCCTCTCCATACTCATCGCAAGTGCAGTGTGCGTAATACTACGCAGTATCACGCTCGAGAAGGTCTTCTTGACCTGCAGCAGGTCAATACATGGTGAGAACGGGAGGCGTACTATGAGCCGCTTCCGAATATTAATCCGAAATTTCTTGTTCGTGATCCTCGACAAGCAAGCCCTGAGTATACCTCGACTCTTCTTGGATGGGATCGGGCCCATGCCTGAGTACATTTTGATGAGCTTTGTCAAGGTGTACCCGTAGAGCTTGGCTCTTGACCACGGCGTGCGCAGAAGGGAGATGAGCTTACTCTTGATCTTAGCGGTCCTGGAATGGTTCTCGACACAACAAGCAACGTCAGCACGGCATCCGTTCTCAAAAGTCAGTCCGCTATCCCTCAATAGTTGTTTGTTACCATTAATGATGATTACGCTGTGTCCGAATTTTCTCTTTGTTACTTTCCAGCTCTCAACCCAGAGGTTGCCTTTGAAAGATTCAATGGCTGCCTTTGGTTTGATGAGGCTGGAAAGCTGCGCGGTAACTTTCTCCTGTGACGAGAACAAGATCGGTGTGTCGTATGTCATGTTCTGTAGGATAGCATTCTTCTTCTTATGGCTTTTCTTCTTCTTATTGATTCTAAATTTTGCATTCGACGACCTGTGTTGTGTATTAAGATAAGGGCTTCATCTTTGGATTAGTTTCTTCTCTAGGAGTGAAGCTGTGGTGACATCCCCTGCCCAGATAGGAATACATACATACTTATGTACTCCGAACTTGGCAATCCAAGAGTACAGTTTCCTGTGCTGCTTGTTCTCACGACGCAGTACAGCACTTGCGTGCTCCTTCCACCTTCTATCCATCCCCCTTGCAGTTCTTCCTATATAGTAGTGTCTACACCAGGGTGATACCCAAATATACACACATACTTGTTCCGTCAAAAGCTGATCCCAGTCTCCTCTGTATGTGCTAATGAGACCGTACACTCTCTGTGCCCAGTTAGTCTCCCCTACTCGCATTAGTTCCAGTGTGGCCAGTCTGTACGCTCTATTCACCGTCGTGCAGTCAGTCCACTTCCGATCACCGATCAGACTAAGAATAGTAGCGCTGCATTGTGTAGCAAGACTCCATGTGATAGTAGTAGGGAAGCTTGCGCACTGCGATCGTGGTGGCTAATGCGCGTTCGGCTGCACTTCCTCTGATGCGACTGGTCCTTCGGAGAACTCTGCCTCCACGTCTTCTGACGAACTCCCTTCTTCTTCGGACTCTGATTCCTTCGTCTTGTCACCATCTGGCCGACCTCCATTGGCCTCGTCACCTGTCCCAGTCTTGTCCGGCAGATCGTCGGTGTCGGACAGTATAAGTCCCGGTATCTTCCGTAAAGCCACCCTAGCTTGTGGCATGCTCCTGTAGCGTACATTGTGCATTGCGCACAGCCGCTTGAGATCCTCCATTTGGAGGGCACTCAGCATATCCTCGGAGATCTGCTTACCAAGCAGTATTCTCCGTCTCGCCGTCGATCGTCGTGCGCTCTTCCGGGGGTCGATACCCCACTGAGTCTTCTTCGACGTGCTCGCCAGTGCTTCGCTCGGCTTCGGTGTGGCCTTCTTGATTGGAGTCTTCCCATTGGTTAGTAGCTGCCTGGGAGAGATAAACTGCCTTGTTGGTGGTTTTAAGTTAACCACACTTCCTTGTAAGGAGGCAATGTCGTACTTCATGCCCTGAAAATCCTCCAGCTGCTTCTTGAGCCCCTTTAGTTCCGACATCACCTTCGAGACGTCACCATCCTTTCCTCTCCCACGGCTTGCTTGTTGGGAGTTTCCATCATCCGCCTTCTTCCCAGCGTGAGCTGTCAATGCCTCTTGTACTGCTGCGTCGACCAACTGCTTGATCTTGTGGGCCGTAACGTCAGCAAGTCGTTCGGCACCCGCGTTCACTTCGTCCGATATCTTATCGACCTTCTTCCGCAATCTGTCCAGCTCTCGACGAAGAGCGTAGAGCTCATCTCGAAGTTCGACAGTAAACCAGGCCCCATTTCCGGGCGCAGGTTTATTGTACGGGAATTCTGGTCGCCTATCCTCCCGTTCCCGTGATAGACTTTGACGCCTTCACCTGCTTAATGTTGATGATGTTGATCTGGATCGACGCCGGTCCCTCCTCCCTCGTTCATCTGATCGCTCTCTCGATCGTTCTGTCCTTCTCGTAGGTGCTTTGCCCCTCCTTGAATCCACTCCCTTCTTCCTATGGCCTGGTGATCTTGATCTAGACCTGGATCGTGATCTCCCCATCCCGCTGAGTAGGTACTTGCCTCCTATCCACGTGTACCGCCTTGCCGCTTCCCCTCACGCCGCTATCCGGTCTTCAGCTGTAGCAGATCGCTTAACAGAAACCTCCAATCTCTCGCCCTTAAATACAGGCTACATGTTACATCTTCGAGTCACACGGGTCCTACCGGACCCGACTTAGGGCCGGAGGGACACACCAGGGCCTAAAGGCCCGACCTTTGAGGGTCACAGGCCCTAAAGGCCTGATTTTGCACTTTGAGGGTCACAGGCCCTAAAGGCCTGATTTTGCACTTTGAGGGTCACAGGCCCTAAAGGCCTGATTTTGCACTCAGCCCAGCGGGTAGGCCCATCTGGACGGTGCAGGGTCTGGCCTGGCCTCGCAGCATTGAGGCCAGACCATGGCCTACCGGTATAAGTACCGGTACCTGCCTCAGTAGAGGCATCGACCTACCGGCACTATACCGGTACGGTATGGTCAGCGCCAGAGCGCTGTTTTGATGCGCTAAACTTAGCGCAGGGGCTGAAGCAGGAGCGCAGCATAGCGCGGATTTGCGCAGCAGCGAGCGGAGCAGCGGCAGGGCGACTGAGCCAGCACGGCGGCCATTGCCGCCTGAGGTA